AGATTGTTTTCATAAGATGGTTGACAATGATCTTCAGACACTGCTTTATGAAAACAGTAAACTACAAACACCTTTTATCCTACACATTTGACAGCATTTCATTTTTGGAACATTCATTCTATTTTATCTTGGTAGAACAGTCTGTGCAGTCTTATGTAATTCTTTTAAGGACTTCATTTCAACTGACGCTGACTAATTCTTTCTCAAAGTAGTAAAAATTTTCTTTTATAGTTTAAAGAATGCAAGATCATTCAAAAATTAGTCAAAACATACCAAAATCTTTATAATTCAACCTTGATTCTTCAAACCATTCTTTCTTCTTCTTTTTTTGTATTACACTGGCCATTACAACAATCTTTAACCTTCTAAATTCTACATGTGTCTTTTCCAAAGCATTCCTCTCTATTGTAGTAGATACAAAGCCTATGGGTTAAACCTGCATCATACACGTCATTTCAAACAAGAGGCCCCTGGTCCACAATGCTCACCTGAGTCACCTTAGGTCTGCTGTTCTTCAGAAGATAGTTTAAAGCTTTTTTTCCTCTTTTAATTCCCATTTATTTTAAACCTTGTACTGTAGCTGACCCATTCTCAAGGGATTTATGAGTTAACAAACTTAAATCTACACAACATTAGGATGCTCCTGAATAAATAAATGATAAATATGGCCTTTAATTGCTGTTCTGGAAAAGATTTAATAAATTTTAAAAAATTCCTGTATATATGCATTATGTAAAAGAAGATGAGCATATCTGGCATGGAATCATGTGCATGTCACTCATAGTTTAAAAGTCAAGTCAGGCAGGTGTACTCACAGATACAACAGAAATTGCAATACACCAGAATTATGATGCCATGGAAAAAAGTTCATTAACAGTGACATTTACAGTAATTGGAATTCAGACATAAGACATTCTCCAATTATTTTTCAATGAAAACATGGAGATATCCTTTCCATTTTGTCTTTTACACTTTTCTTTTTTTATTTCTAGCTATATATATAGTCTATTTGATCAAAAATTCAAGTTCTAGGAGAAAAGTGAATTAGGTCCTGAAGAAAAGGAGTGGGCACTGTCTCTTCTGCATGAGAATTCCTCAATTTAACAGCAGCAATTTCTAAATGAAACCTCAGTAACTAATAAATCTGTAATGATTTTCTATTTATGGTCTGGACCAATTGTATTTGCCTGGTCTATTTCAGAAAGGGCCATCTAAGCTAGCAAGTTTATGGTTCCTATCTGTTAGGAGATAATCCTATTTTTATGGGTCATTGACTTGTCTAAAGAAACATTAAAGCTGGCTTTGAAGGATGAAATCAACAGCCGTCCAGCCAATGCTCTCCCATTTCACAAAACATTTTCCAATTTGTATAATAACTGATTAATATTTAATATATAAATAAATCGAAGACGTGCTAGAATATGTCATTATCCACATTCATTCATAATGATGAACTCCAAATGTCCATTTCAACTTCCAAGTATAAATAATAAACTTTCAAAGTGCAGGCCTTTCTGGATAAAGCATCAGAAAAGAATATTTTTCATGAATTTATACATGTGATAACTTTTACACCCAAATACTGAAGTCTTGAAAACACTGGAATTTAAGTGAAAATACTGCACATTAATGCTCATCAAAAAAAGGTTAAAAAAGCTGTTAAAAGAAAGAATATATATATATATATATATATATATATATATATATATATATATATATATATATATATATATATATATATATATATATATATATATATATTAGGGATGTCAACGAGTACCCAGTTAACCAGGTACTCGATCGAACGTCCGAGTATCGAATACTAAAAATGGTACTCGGTTACTCGGAAGTGTATTTTTTTTCTTATTTCAAAGTACAAAGTATTTTTATCAAAAACTTATCAATAACTTAAATATGCATACGGTAATTGGCGTGTCGTCATCTACACCTGTAAAACACCCGTTATCGCCTGTGGCTGTGTATATACAGTAATTAGTGACCAATCACCTGGTACACAACTAGCTGTTCTCACCTATTGTGGTCCTTAATTTTTGGATGGCTTCAATGATTGTTTTCAGTGAACATAGTTTAAAGTATGGCTCATAATCTTAACTTGTTTTTTTAAATTATTTAATTGATATACGGTAGCGAAATCGGACATGCATTAGAAATGCCGCTACCCACTTCAAAAAGGAAGAAATATTTAGAAACAACTAAAGTTTTAAAAAATGTTGAAAGTCAGTTTGCGTAGTTTAGTGTATATGGGGGAAACAACCAACATATGAAATGATATTAGACTAGCGATCCCAACAACGTCCGTTCCTTCCCCTTCCTTAGTCTAATCACCACAAACCTGCATAACAGATTGTCTTCCTTTTGTGTTGAAGAAATAGATCCTAAACAAAAAGTGTAAACCATTTGTAATTTTTGATGTATTAATTGTGTCGTTTGTGTTCATTTGGTAAGTAAATTAAGTACCAAAAAATCATTTCCCATTGACTCAATTGTTTATATACATTTATAAACGTGAAAAAAAAACAGCTTTGGGGTTTAACAGAGCTTAACCGGGCTCAAGAAAATTAACTCACTTGTATGTATTTTCATTTTTACCAAGTACCCGGGTACTCGATCGGAAAAACGTCCGAGTAACCGATTATCAAAAATTGAAAAATTGACCGATTTGACATCCCTAATATATATATATATATATATATATATATATATATATATATATATATATATATGTATATATATATATATATATATATATATATATATATATATATATATACACTGACAAAAAAATTCCAACATAAAAGGATACTTTTTATTACTAAATTTCAAATCAACAAATGTACCAAAGCACGTTGTGTTAATTAACTATTGCATGCAAATTTTGCAGGTTTTAGAATTTCATATCCAAAAAAGTCTCCATGGTCAATGTTAAAGTGACAGTATGGCGCATCTCATCAAAAAACTGACTTGATAAAATTTTCCGACAAGATTTGGAATTTTTTACTACTCATAAATGTATAAACTTTCAGAAAATTACAACTTTCACAATTAAATAATTTTGATTATTTCATTAAAATTAATAGTTATTTATGAGACATAAATATATACATCGCAACGTGATCGGGGTTCCACATTCCATGCTATGCACGCATGCGTAGTTTTCATAAACAAAACAGCATGGTAAGAGAGGGAAGCTGGTAAGCCTGCTACATTGACAAAGTCGACCAAAAAGAAAAAGAAACTGAAAAAAGAGCTTGAAAAAGCAACTTTCCTGACTAAAATTTAGTTTGGGGATTAATATAATCGTTGGATAAGGAAGAAACGGGAACCCGCCGACACTCACGCAGGGCTCGTGAAGGTTCTACTCGACAGGTTTGTTGATACTTGTTATCATTTCTCATTTTTCCGTCGCTTTCAAAGAAAAAAAAAATAGTGTAAACTCAACATAAAAAAACACCTATGACTTAAAAATATTGTTGCCATTTGAAGTGGTAATTTTTTTAACTGTGCAGAAAAATATTTTGTTTGACATTTGCCGCGATAACGTATGATTTGGTGGTTTTTCATTTCTCGGACCCCAATACACAAAAAGTTAACATTTGTACTTTTAATTCTGTTAAATTCGCCTGAAAGCAGACTAAAATCTTTACAATTATTATTTTAGATTATTTCATCAGAAAGTTATGATAATTTGCGTTTGAAAATTGCTTTTACCTCACATTCATTATAATTGTAAACTCTACAGTGTAGGCACGTGCTGTTTTAGAATTCATGTGGTACAAATAAACAGATCTAAGATTGTTCCAGTTCGAACGATCCTTGATTTTCCGGCAGATTCTAATCACGTTAATTTTGTATGAGGAGAGAATATTTCTGTTTCTCAAACTGCTTACATCAACTTTATACCTTATTTCTTAATGATATATTGGGTAAATTTGAATGAAAAAGCACACGTTTTGCAGCCAAACTGCCGCTTTAAATTTTGTACAAGGATTGTCTTTAGTACAGACAGATGGACACACAGACAGACAGACAGACAAGGTGATTCCTATACCCCCTCCTTATCAAACATTCTCTGAATTTTGCCCCTTTTGCAACGTTCTTGATAAAATTCAAAATTCCTTCCTCTGTTTTTGGGGGCAAAAATTTTGACATTTATTAAGATAGGCTTTTTTTTTACTTAACACTTTAGCATAAGTAACTTCTCATTGTCATGTAAACATTTTTCAGAATTATTGATTGAATCTTATTTTTTGTACACTTATTTTAATTTTCCTAGTAATGAAGTGCAATTTTTAATTACTTATTTATAATGCATCAAATGATTAACAGATAATGGAATTTCTGATTTTACTGTTGGCAGAAGAAATTGAGTTATTCCCCTTTTCAATGATAATACAGTAACTATATTTCATGACAGAGGAAGTTGAGTTATTCCCCTTTTCATTAAGTATGTCAGTGGTAGTCAATGACGATACTTCATTGATGTGGTAGTTTTCAGTCAATATAGCAGTGTCTCATTCTTTGTCAAGTAATGAATATAACATCATTAATTTGGAAAAATAGTCTATTTGGTTTTGTTTTTTACCATTCTCTGTGATGTTATATAATATTTTGTAAATGACAATCTCACAAAAAAATAGATCATTTATGGCACTAAAAATAAACACAGAGTATATTTATGATCATTATTTCATTCCCCTACTTTCAACTGCGTAAACTTCAAGTCCGCCGACATCTCTAGTACACGAGAAGAGGACTGCAGGATGACAACAATGGGGCTATATTGCTGATAGCGAGCCTCAAAAATGTAAATGAATCTCAATAACAATTCAACGATGACAATAATTCTGACTTTTTGACTTACTACATTTTATCCATTTACTACACCCTTACTCTTTATAGAGCATAGGACATAGACAGGTAGACAGACAGACACTGATAACAGACAGACACAGACAGACAGACACTGACTACAGACTTACTTGCTGTTCCTCCCAGAGCATTAGACTGAGAGATCCCGCTGTATCGTTGACAGAGTTTGACATTTTGTACACAGTAATATATTTGGTGTTTGAGGTCTTGTCATCTGTCTGTTTCTGGACTGTAACCTGCAATCAAAGACAATTATGTCCCACTTTGAAAGATTATAATGAACTTTATATGAAATCAAAAACTTGTAATGCACAACTGTTTCAAATGAAACAAATGAGGCCTCAGTTGAACCAGCACCATGGAATTCTAAATTTTGGTGCCTTTTCACTCTTTGTATTTTGTGCCTTCATCCATACATCTGATCAGGATGAAATTGGTTGAGTCATTGCAGAGAAGAAGTTTATAGAGAAAAGTTTCGAAAAGCAGGATGAACAGACCCACTGATGATAGACAATTGACCATTTCATGAAACCAGTAATGTTTATCTATATCATATTTTAATGATTTCATGTTTTTCCTGGACCTAAGCAAGGGTGACTGCAAATATGGGCATCCTTAACCTGGCTGCATAAATGTCTCTCAAAACACTGAAAATCATAATAAATTGTTCATGTTAATAACAGAGAAAGACATGTTCTTCTGATGAATAATGTTTTTTTTTAACTCAACAAATCGTCAGATATACTGTATGCTAATTACATTGTGATGTCGTGAAGTCCAGGAAAGACAACTCTCCCTGATTAATGACTGAAGGTAGAACAAGACAGGGAAATAAATCTACTTAACTTATAATGGCATCATTAAAAAAATAATAAATGTGGTCCAAATAAACACAACATAGCAAGTAAAAACAATTAAATATCTTAAAATCTAAAATCATTTCTGCCATTTATTATTTTATGGTAACTTTTTCTCAAAACTTGCCAAAATTGTACCATGGGTGAAGAGTAAATTCTAGAAAGTGAGGTTATAGGCCATGCTAACCAGAGTCCCTCTATGCCCTTTATCTGCCATACAAGAATGTAAAAAGACCTCCTTTAGGTACCCAAACTAAGTCATAAGACATACATACATATCAATTAAGGCAGGACCCCTAATACTTTATCATAAAAATAAGTGTGCTGGCAACTCCACTTTTAGCTTCCGGATTTCAATCGACCTTATACATTTCAAACATTTCTATCACACGTTAAACATTAAGAGTAGAGACCGTAAAAGTTTCTGTGTTCTACATAACGGACATTTACCTGTAAACTAAGGTCATTCTCATATGGAGGGCTCGCCGTTTCACAGAGCAGGTGTCCAGAGGAAGTAACCAACAAACTCGACAACACTATTGTCCGAGTCAGTGTCTTGTTCCAATCTCTGACAATGGTCACTTTATAGTTTTGTCTGTCTTCTTCTGGCATTAGTTGACCCCTATCATCAGAGACAGTCACCTGATAAAAGAAACACATTATTATACAGTAAATAACTTCATCTGAATCATACAAATTTTAAAGATTTCTTCCATTGCCAGCTCTCTCAAAGAAATCTTGTAACCAAAATGAATGGCTGATGGAAGCTTTATAGCATATGTTCAGACCAAGCTCATCTTGTTTGTTAAACCCTGGAAAGTAAACTATTCTCCTAATAAGACATCAGTGTGTATCTGTATCATAACCTTGTTGGGACCTTGACTAATGTAACACTCTTTATATGATGTTTACAAGCATGAACTCACAGTCAAACCCTAGTCATCAAGTCTATCTATAACCTCTATCTGCGATATATTTGTTGGTTCAGAACAATTATATACAGTAGAGCTTGGGTATCTCCAACACTGACATGTCTAATAACATGGATACATTGAAGCAAAGTGAAATCCTAACATCTTTTTCTTTATGTATATTTAACCCCAATATTATGAATTCTCAGATACTTGTAAATTTTCCTGAGGCCCATTGATTTCAAGATAACACAGTTTAACAATCATATGAATTATTAACATATGAACAATGTAGTGCAATGTTTAATGTGACATTACCCATTATAGCACTTCTGCATCAAAGTTTATACGTCACGGAAACAAAATTGTGAATGATCTGTAGTGGTATGTCTTTTATTACAGTTCACAAGAATAGTTATTGTACAACCAGATTCGGGGAAGTCAGAGCGATTTGCCTAATATATCTGCTCAAAAGAACATCGGAACTGGAATACTCTCAAGGAGTTGAGGAATTTATATATTTGGTAAAGCCAACTAACAAAAGTAAAACTTATGTCCACTGATTGTCAGAGAATCTCGTGTGTGGGTACGAAATCTCATCTCCAAGTATGCTACAGCATGGCAAAGGAACGAATAGTCAAAGGACTGCCCCAATCTGATGTATACAGGGTCAGAGAGGAGGTTACTTAGGGATGACAGTTTATGATTAAGACCCCGGCAATAGTTAGGGAATGTTGACCATTCAGATGGCATTTATGGGTTTGGATGTCTGGAACAAGTCATTCTTCCCTGGTCATAGTGACAGAAAGGCTGAAGAAAGTTTTTATTACCTATTTAATAGAAGTATTTTGTAGTAAACCACAAAAATTAGTACATCCCCACAACATATAACAAAGATAATGATTCGCTCTCTCTGACTGTCCCCTAAGAAACAAGAGGCCCATGGGCCACATCGCTCACCTGAGCACATTGGCTTGAATTTTAAACTACCTGATGATGCTTCCATGTCAATATAACAAATGGCTTTGTCGTACTTGAGAAGATTTTAAAAAAATTTTCCCATATATTCCTTTGTAAAAATTTGATCCCCCATTGTGGCTCCTCCCTATCCCAGGGGTCATCATTTGAACAAACTTGAATCTACACTACCTGAAGATGCTTCCATATCAATATGACTAAACATAACTTTTCTGTTCTTGAGGAGAAATATTTTTTCTATATGTTCTTATGTAAACTTTCCATCCCCGATTGGGCCCCACCCTACCCCTGGGGGTCACCATTTGAACAAAATTGAGTCTACACTACTTGAGGATGCTTCCATATAAATATGACTCATCATGGCTTTGCTGTTCTTGAGAAGAAGATTTTTAAAGATTTTTCCTATATATTTCTATGTAAAACTTTGATCCTCCATTGTGGCCCCGCCCTACCCCCGGGGATCATGGTTTGAACAAACTTGAATCTACACTACTTGAGGATGCTTCCTTATAAATATGACTCATCATGGCTTTGCTGTTCTTGAGAAGAAGATTTTTAAAGATTTTTCCTATATATTTCTATGTAAAACTTTGATCCTCACTTGTGGCCCCACCCTACCCCCGGGGGTCATGGTTTGAACAAACTTGAATCTACACTACTTGAGGATGCTTCCATATAAATATGACTCATCATGGCTTTGCTGTTCTTGAGAAGAAGATTTTTAAAGATTTTTCCTATATATTTCTATGTAAAACTTTGATCCTCCATTGTGGCCCCGCCCTACTCCCGGGGGTCATGGTTTGAACAAACTTGAATTTGCACTACCTAAGGATGCTTATGTATAAATATGACTCATCATGGCTTTGCTGTTCTTGAGAAGAAGATTTTTAAAGATTTTTCCTATATATTTCTATGTAAAACTTTGATCCTCCATTGTGGCCCCGCCCTACCCCCGGGGATCAGGATTTGAACAAACTTGAATCTGCACTACCTGAGGATGCTTCCATATAAATATGACTCATCATGGCTTTGCTGTTCTTGAGAAGAAGATTTTTAAAGATTTTTCCTATATATTTCTATGTAAAACTTTGATCCTCCATTGTGGCCCCGCCCTACCCCGGGGGTCATGGTTTGAACAAACTTGAATCTACACTACTTGAGGATGCTTCCATATAAATATGACTCATCATGGCTTTGCTGTTTTTGAGAAGAAGATTTTTAAAGATTTTTCCTATATATTTCTATGTAAAACTTTGATCCTCACTTGTGGCCCCACCCTACCCCCGGGGGTCATGATTTGAACAAACTTGAATCTACACTACCTAAGGATGCTTCCACATGAGTTTCATCTTTCCTGGCCCTATGGTTCTTGAGAAGAAGATTTTTAAATGATGCCATTATTTTTTCACTAATTCCTAATTATCTCCCCTTGGAAGAGGGCATGGCCCTTCATTTGAACAAACTTGAATCCCCTTTACCCAAGGATACTTTGTGGCAAGTTTGGTTGAAATTGGCCCAGTGGTTCTTGAGAAGAAGTCGAAAATGTGAAAAGTTTACAGACAGACGGACAGACAGACGGACAGACAGACGGACGCCGGACAAAATGTGATCAGAAAAGCTCACTTGAGCTTTCAGCTCAGGTGAGCTAATAATATTTGATGGAAACATGAATAGATTAAAGTAACGGTCAAGATAATCTGGAATTTACAACAAAAAAATTGATACAATTACATAAAGATTATTCATGTTTATTTAAAGTTTATAATTCTAGGTCATATAAGTCCTAATAAGTTCAGTCTCTGTAACCAATTGTAAGAGCTATTTTGTTACACCATTTAATGACCCACTTACACAATAATGGTATGGTACATCTGGAGAGTAGTAATCATCACCGATTATCTCAATCTTAATCCCGTCATAAGTCAGCTGGATTGTGGTCTCTCCTTCCAACTCAATCCTCGATGACCCCTCCATCACCGTGGCCTTGACCTTCATCACTGGGTTATAAAAGGACAACAAACTCTTCAGCTCATCTGGTTTCAAGGTGAAGGTCGCAGTTCCTTCTATCTATAACCATACAGTGACAATATAAGCTGGCCCTGACTGCTTAGAGAAATGCATACTTCATATCAATGATTATTTTAATGTAGGATGTTCTTAAAATGTTCAGAAAGCCATGCATGAACATCAGAGTTACATGACAACCAGACACATTTTGAGTACTATAAGTGATTAAAGTGTATGTGCATGTGTATGTAGTAGGAAGGGAGTACAGTAAGCTACAAAGTAAACTTTAAATGGTCTAAAATTCCAACTCCTATTTAACATATCCCACATGCAAAAATTTTCCAAATTTTTAGTCTTCCTTTCCAAAAAATACATTTAAGTGTAGCGTTTGCCCATTAAAAATGTGTTCCTAACCCCCAATTTCTTTTTAAAAACTAACCTGGATGAAAATCCATTAAATTACAGCTAAAGTAAGCCTCTTAAGCCAGCTGAAACTGTGTTACATATGGGTTTTTTTTGGCTATGTCTAGTTAAAATTTCCTGTCATTTCATACCTTGCACAAATTCATGAATGTTATGAGCATATATCTACTAGACCTGCATTCCTTGAAGGACAATGTACTTAAAATATTTAATTGTTTGCCTACATGTATTGTTAATGAGAGATACAGGTAAGACCGTTTACCAGAGGCTTGGAGGGTATGGCCCTCTCACTTCCACTCATTGACACCAGGATTCTGGCATCTCCTACAACGTTCTCCCCGTAAGTATACCTGTTAAATAGGAAACAAAGCTTTAGTATGTTGTCTCTGAAAACAAATACTTACATACAGTGTTATTTTCATACTTGCCAATCTCCAACCTGTAAAAAGAGGGTCATGATCTTTTTTGGAAAGTAAAAAATCTAGTCATACGTAACGACATTCACAACATATTTATTATGTTATATTTCATACTGCCTAATATACAATAAGCGTTTGTTTATTGAGAATTATTTTATTGAAAAGAAACTTACAATGGTAAAATTCGATGATTCATTGATTAAATTAAACGATAAAATGGAATTTAAGATTTCATTATTTAGCAGTGACCTGAATTAAACATGCGTTTTTCAACACTGAAAGCCCTTTCAGAATCCGTACTGCTGATTGGTAGAACATTGTGAAACTTGAGCTACTTTTGAAAGTATTAAATCTTGGCTTTGAAGTTATTTTTTTCATCTCCAGAACTTATAAATAAGTGAAATGTAGATTTTTTTGATCACTTTATTTTATCTAATGAAAATCCTTTTCCAAGAATGAAAATAAAGGCCAGAATTCAAAGTGAAATGAATTGCACAGTCTTCACTGTATGACCTTCCAATGATTCTCCATTACTAAGTTAAAGCACACAAAAAGAATTTTATACTTTTTCTACCAGTGATCTTGAATTTGCTGGAATGCCCTTGGGTCAAGGTCATTACACACCCTAAGGTCATAAGCAATCTCTGTACCATGTATGAGATCCCAATATTTCTCCATTAGTAATTTATAGCCAAGACAAGATTGAATGAACAAATGGACAAAAGGACAAGGCAATTCCTACATACCCCCCAAACTTTGTTTGCAGAGGTATAATTACCACACTCAAGTCTCCCCCTCCTCCTATGCGTATATGCATATGTAGTATACAATCAATCCTTGGTCATTTTAATTAAAATGAATGAAGTCATGATAGTATATTTTCTGCTGAATTACCTGGCAATAACTCGGACATCAAATGGTTTCTGACTTCGTGGGTAAAGAGATGGGGGTCCAATTACAGTCACCTCAAATCTTGGCAGAACTGAAATTAAAAAAAATGTCTGTTGTATGTTTACAAGTACAAAACTTTTATTTTGTAAATGAAAAGAGAAAAGGATCGCTGCAAAAATGGAAAGTGCTGAAATATTGGAAAACACTCGTAAATATTGGATTCAAATTAGCGGAATTTCGCTAAATGTCTGAAGAGAATGATCACTGCTATATATTGGCACATATACATATTCTTCATCTATAACTCACTGACTTGTGATCTAATAGAAGTTAACAAGAAGATGACCATGTAATGCAAGGTATCCATGGTGATGACAAATTTGACCTTGCTTTAGTGTCATAAAACAATTGCTTATCATGAGTATTCCTTGAGAGATCCATTACTTATTAACAACAAAGGTGTAACACACAAAGTGGGACAGTCAGACAAACAGATGAATGGACAGCTAGACAAACAAACAAAATTTGCTTGCAATAGATATAGCAATTTTTCTCTTCAGTCAAACTGAACTTGTCATGTAGCATTATGTAATATTCAAATTTAACAAACATTACTTATATGAATTTTAAGGTGAGTATGAATGAATTTGAATGACAATATATTTGTGCTGTATTATCACTCAATATATTTAGACATAATTTCCATTTATAACTATAATTATGTAAGGAAAGAATGTGCCCTAAAAAATGTTCTTTGAGCAAACTTGGATCCCCTTTACCCAAGGATGCTTTATGTAAAAATTTGGTTGGAACTGGTCCAGTGGTTCTGAAGAAGAAGTAGAAAATAAAAAAGTTGACAGAGGGACAGAGAGAAAAATGAACAACAGAAAATTTCAGTTATAAAAGCTTACTTTAGCCTTTGGCTCAGGTGAGCTATAGAGGATTCACATTACAGCATTAAAGTAAAACCAATGTTTACTAGGGAATTTTACAAACTTCTTTTCCCTTTCCAAAATGGTCATAGATCTTTAATTAAGTGTTGCTTCATTACAGAACATTTTGTCTCTATTGAATCATCATGAAAAAATTATGGAACACTTTAAAAATTGTTTTGATTTTCTATTACTCTGAAAAAAAAAATTCTAAGGACACAAGACATCAAGTCTTAAACTGGTAACTTACCAAACTTATCTACTGTAAATGTGACCACAGATTTCACAATCTAAAAATAAATAGTCAAATAATAAAATCATATATTTTTGAAAGATCCATAATTAATTTTCAATTTTATCAATGTTTGGGCATTATAAAATAATCAAGGTTTATTTTGTTTACTGCTCATTAATGAAAAAGTATGATTTTAATCAACTTCAGACCCAATAAAAAGATTTAGAAATAAATATTCCTCAATATTTTAAATTTCACAATGAGACACAAGAAGGATAACTCTGTCTACCTCTGAAGGACTGTGTTGCTGTTCAGCAGTAATTGTCCAGTCCCCAAGAGCTGGATCATTAGAAAGAAGAAACTCGGCTTTGGCCACACCTATCACACAAAAATATTTCATAACAACACTAAAAAGCAGAAAATTTTAATTACCGTATATACTCGCCTATAACTTGGTTTTTTGGGAGTTAAACTTGGGTCAAAAACTCTTTATCCGACTTATACGCGAGTTATAAAAAGATTGGTATTTTACGCAGTACAGTTAAGGTGCGCAATGGAAATATCGGCGATTTTTTATGTTACAAAATACAACTATAAATTCAATAGTGCAAGGGCATACCCAACTTAAAATTCAAAGTTTAATTTTTAAATAGTTTTAACACCCATTGTAGTTTGTGAAAAGTGCTGCGATCCTATATAGATTCTAGTATTTCGTTGTTAAAATCATATTTGTATGAACGCATACTGAATTTTTTGCTGGTCAGCTTCATTAAATATAGAAATAATTAATTCAGTTTCAAGATTTCAACAGGATCACAGCACTTTTCAAAGAGCTTAATACTTCTAGAGTTTATAATTAAAAATTTGTCATGATCCATTGAGGGTATGCCCTTGCACTAGATCGATTTATTAAGACCCTTAGGTTATCCTCCAATGTACCTGCATGCAAATATACGGCAGTATTCGTGAAATAGGAAATGTACGGAAAATATATGAACAAAATCATAAAAAGGACATTGTATCTAAATTAATGGCCTCTTAAAAATCTGCAAATCATATTTTATTTAATTATAAAATACATTTCTTCGTTGTGAAAATATTACTTGATCCACCTCTCAGTGCATACATACTGTGTCAAGTTTTACAGAATGACGTCATATCGACAAGTGCAGTGCGATCAGTGACTTGTTCAAACCTTGCTACGTGGGAATTAACTAACGACAAAAACGCATGTTATAGTAAATTTTGATGTAGTTTAATTATCTCCTACAGATTAAAATCGCAAATCACCTCATTTTTCGGTATTTTTAAGGATTGCTAGTTTTGTGTGATGTCATAGTTAATATTTCCCGTAAAAATTAGGCCACACCTCCTTTTTGTAGCCTTAACTGTGCTGCGTAGTGGGTCAATCCCTCTAATTCAAGCTTAAAAACTACAATCGACTTATAGGCGGAATGAGTTATAGGCGAGTATATATGGTAAAAGTATATCCTTTCAAATGATGCTGATAGTCACTTTAGCATCTTTAGATTCTTGACAATTGATCAACTGGGGCTGATGACAGAAGTTGAGACAATTTTAGTAGAGGACCTCATGTTTGTCAAATTGGATTATGTTTGTCTGCTAAATGCCAGGAAAAAAAATTTAAAGATCCATTTTCTTTACAAGGCCTGAACTCGGAAACCATAGCTTCTATTAACCATGCACTTAATTTGTCTGCAAATTGCGAAGGAGTAAAAGAGATTTAAAAAGTTATTTGTATTTTTGATACTCTTGATTTAGCCCATCTTGAACCTGGAATCCTGGACCTAGCGGAAATGAATTGACTTATGTTAAGTACACATACCTGACTCTGGTACCACGTCCTTCCACATCTCTACACGGTTTTCATCAGGATCCTACATATAAAACATTGATACATTTATCCTACACATAAAACACTGAAACATTTATCCTACATATAAAACATTGATACATTTATCCTACACATAAAACACTGAAACATTTATCCTACATATAAAACACTGATACATTTATCCTACATATAAAACACTGAAACATTTATCCTACACATAAAACACTGATATGTTTATCCTTCACATAAAACATATTAGATACATTTATCCTACACATAAAACATGGATACATGTATCCTACACATAAAACAATATTAAATTCTGAAATCACTGTACCATTTAATTAAATCCTAGTTTTACTCCATAATTCAAATTATCTCAAACACGAGACAAGTTATTTCAGTTAAATGTAGAACTCTAAAATACAAAACACAGTATGTTCCATAATGAGATATTTTAGAATAGAGGCCCAGGGGCCTTATCAGTCACCTGAGTGTCATTAGGCAATTTATTGAACCACTGTTTCTTTTTCTTACTTAACACTTGTGTATTACATAAGTGCCTAATGCATCTCAATGTGATCTAAAGGTAATGATTTGGGGAAACTGGAATCTACACTACATGAAAAATTTTTCATAATAATTTAATATGAAAATATATTTAACATAATACGAAAAAAATGTCATAAATCTTTGCAATATACTAATAAGAAAAAAGGATTTTAAAAAGGTAATATGTATCCCCTCTTATAAAATGGGAAATATGATTCCAATTAATAATTTCTTTGAAATGAATATTTACCTTGATATATATGGTGACATTTTGATTTACTGGCATAAGGTCTCTATCCAGAGCCAATGCACGGATCAGAACTAAAATATAAACAAATCTTAAATAACTGTCGTCATGCAGAAAGCAACATCTAATTTTACTTAATGAAGAATCTTTACAAAAATGCCAACTTTTTAAATTCTCCATAAGGGTTTGCATGTAGCATCAATTTTTCGAAAATAAAAATTTTTTCAACATTTTGTAGCGATTTTTAGGATAAGGAGAGGAAAGCACAGATTAGGGAAAGAAATAAGACAAGAGGCCCATGGGCCACATCGCTCACCTGAGCACATTGGCTAGGCAAAAGCACAATCAGTTCAGTATTGAAAAGACCGGGGGGGGGGGGGGGGGGGGGGGGACTTGAATTTTAAACTACCTGATGATGCTTCCATGTCAATATAACAAATGGCTTTGTTGTACTTGAGAAGATTTTTTAAAAAAAACTTCCCATATATTCCTTTGTAAAAATTTGATCCCCCATTGTGGCTCCTCCCTATCCCAGGGGTCATCATTTGAACAAACTTGAATCTACACTACCTGAGGATGCTTCCATATCAATATGACTAAACATAGCTTTTCTGTTCTTGAGAAGAAATATTTTTTCTATATGTTCTTATGTAAAACTTTCCATCCCCCATTGGGCCCTATCCTACCTGGGGGTCATCATTTGAACAAACTTGAATCTACACTACCTGAGGATGCTTCCATATCAATATGACTAAACATAGCTTTTCTGTTCTTCTTCAGAAGATTTTTTCCTATATATTTCTATGTAAAACTTTGATCCCCCATTGTGGCCCCACCCTACCCCCGGGGGTCATGATTTGAACACACTTGAATCTACACTACCTCAGGATGCTTCCATATAAATATGACTCATCATGGCTTTGCTGTTCTTGAGAAGAAGATTTTTAAAGATTTTTCCTATATATTTCTATGTAAAACTTTGATCCTCCATTGTGGCCCCACCCTACCCCCGGGGGTCATGATTTGAACAAACTTGAATCTACACTACCTGAGGATGCTTCCATATAAATATGACTCATCATGGCTTGCTGTTCTTGAGAAGAAGATTTTTAAAGATTTTTCCTATATATTTCTATGTAAAACTTTGATCCTCCACTGCGGCCCCGCCCTACCCTCGGGGGTCATGATTTGAACACACTTGAATCTACACTACCTGAGGATGCTTCCATATAAATATGACTCATCATGGCTTTGCTGTTCTTGAGAAGAAGATTTTTAAAGATTTTTCCTATATATTTCTATGTAAAACTTTGATCCTCCATTGTGGCCCCACCCTACCCCCGGGGGTCATGATTTGAACAAACTTGAATCTACACTACCTGAGGATGCTTCCATATAAATATGACTCATCATGGCTTGCTGTTCTTGAGAAGAAGATTTTTAAAGATTTTTCCTATATATTTCTATGTAAAACTTTGATCCTCCACTGCGGCCCCGCCCTACCCTCGGGGGTCATGATTTGAACACACTTGAATCTACACTACCTGAGGATGCTTCCATATAAATATGACTCATCATGGCTTTGCTGTTCTTGAGAAGATTTTTAAAGATTTTTCCTATATATTTCTATGTAAAACTTTGATCCTCCATTGCAGCCCCGCCCTACCCCCGGGGGTCATGATTTGAACAAACTTGAATCTACACTACCTCAGGATGCTTTCATATAAATATGACCAATCATGGCTTTGCTGTTCTTGAGAAGAAGATTTTTAAAGATTTTTCCTATATATTTCTATGTAAAACTTTGATCCTCCATTGTGGCCCCGCCCTACCCCCGGGGGTCATGATTTGAACAAACTTGAATCTAAACTACCTGAGGATGCTTCCATATAAATATGACTCATCATGGCTTTGCTGTTCTTGAGAAGAAGATTTTTAAAGATTTTTCCTATATATTTCTATGTAAAACTTTGATCCTCCATTGCAGCCCCGCCCTACCCCCGGGGGTAATGATTTGAACAAATTTGAATCTACACTACCTCAGGATGCTTCCATATAAATATGACTCATCATGGCTTTGCTGTTCTTGAGAAGAAGATTTTTAAAGATTTTTCCTATATATTTCTATGTAAAACTTTGATCCTCCATTGTGGCCCCGCCCTACCCTCGGGGGTCATGATTTGAACAAACTTGAATCTACACTACCTGAGGATGCTTCCATATAAATATGACTCATCATGGCTTTGCTGTTCTTGAGAAGAAGATTTTTAAAGATTTTTCCTATATATTTCTATGTAAAACTTTGATCCTCCATTGCAGCCCCGCCCTACCCCCGGGGGTCATGATTTGAACAAACTTGAATCTACACTACCTAAGGATGCTTCCACATGAGTTTCATCTTTCCTGGCCCTATGGTTCTTGAGAAGAAGATTTTTAAATGATGCCATTATTTTTTCACTAATTCCTAATTATCTCCCCTTGAAAGAGGGCTTTGCCCTTCATTTGAACAAACTTGAATCCCCTTTACCCAAGGATACTTTGTGGCAAGTTTGGTTGAAATTGGCCCAGTAGTTCTTGAGAAGAAGTCGAAAATGTGAAAAGTTTACAGACAGACAGACGGACAGACAGACAGACGGACAGACAGACGGACGCCGGACAAAATGTGATCAGAAAAGCTCACTTGAGCTTTCAGCTCAGGTGAGCTAAAAATATTCATAACTGGGACTATTCAATATAATATCACTTGTTTGCAGACAGAATTCTCAAAAATATTAGTCCTAACTTTTCAAACTAACAATATCACACATTTTATTCTTGTTTCGTTAAGTTTACGAGGATTTGGGATACCTTTCTGGTTTTTCTTGTACATCTTCTTGTCCGTTTGAATGTTGAGGAAACTAGACACTTCTTTAATTGATACTAATGTTGAATTCACAATGATCAGGTCAGACCGGGTATAAGTCAAGGTCATGTTTAGAAGGAACGCAGTGGAAAAATCCGCTGTTACCTAGAAATCAAAGACTTAAAATGTAACATCAGTTTTAAACATACATGTTTACACTACCAATATAATGTATGTTTTACCTAAGCAAATTAAAAATTATTTGTCTATGGCTTTTGAGCTAATTAGCTCAAACGTAAAGTTTAAATAGTCACATACTAAACAAGTCAATGCCTATTTTAACAGGGACACAAATGATCAAACTTTAGACAGCAAGTAGTATACTAAAACATGACTCCTTCTGAAATTAGTACACATACAGAGTTACCAAAAAGTTTGTGGACCATAAAGTTAAAACAGCTTAAGGTACCTCAATGAATTTTTATGCATTTATTATTAACATCCTCTTTCTGCCTACATAATAAAACAACCTCAAAATATGATTGATTCCTACAGTGAGCGTAACACAGACAATTGTTTTAATTTCAGTCATTAGTGTGATAGTGTGATTTGACACAATTTTCACATAATATTCAAAAATTTTATCTATCTTGTCAATTCTATGAGATCTTATCATAAATTAGAGAGTGTTAAATCAAGTTATCTAACCAAGACAAGAGGCCCAGGGGCCACATCGCTCACCTGACCACTATGGCTAGGAAAAAGCAGAAATCACTTCAATCTTGAAAGGTTGAAAAGTTTAACTATAATAGTGGTTGGGGGGGGGGGGGGTCATGAATTGAACAAATTTGAATCTACATTATCTGAGGATGCTTCCATTTAAATATGACCAATCATGACTTTGCTGTTCTTGAGTAGAAGATTTTTAAAGATTTAACCTATGTATTCCTATGTAAAACTTTGATCACCCATTGTGGCCCCACCAGACCCCCAGGGGTCATGTTTGAACAAACTTGAATGTACACTATCTAAGAATGCTTCCATATAAATATGACCAATCATGGCTTTGCTATTCTTAACAAATAGGTTTTTTTTTTTAAAGATTTTTACTATGTGTTCCAATGTAAAAATTTGATCGCCCATTGTGGCCCCACCCGACCCCCGGGGGTCATGATTCAAACAAATTTGTATGTACACTATCTGAGGATGCTACCATATAAATATGACCAATCATGGCTTTGCTATTCTTAACAAATTGTTTTTTTTTTTTTTTAGAATTTTTACTATGTGTTCCTATGTAAAACTTTGATCGCCCATTGTGGCCCCACCCGACCCCCAGGGGTCATGATTTGAACAAATTTGAATGTACACTATCTGAGGATGCTACCATATAAATATGACCAATCATGGCTTTGCTGTTCTTGAGAAGAAGATTTTTACTATGTGTTCCTATGTAAAACTTTTATCGCCCATTGTGGCCCCATCCGACCCCCGGGGGTCATGAGTTGAATAAATTTGAATGTACACTATCTGAGGATGCTTCCATGTAAATATGACCAATCATGGCTTTGCTGTTCTTGAGAAGAAGATTTTTAAAGATTTTTCCTATATATTCCTATGCAAAACTTTGATCGCCCATTGTGGCCCCACCCGACCCCCAGGGGTCATGATTTGAACAAACTTGAATCTACACTACCTGAGGATGCTTCCAGGTAAATATGACCAATTATGGCTTTGCTGTTCTTGAGAAGAAGATTTTTAAAGATTTTCCTATATATTCCTATGTAAAACTTTGATCGCCCATTGTGGCCCCACCCGACCCCCAGGGGTCATGATTTGAACAAATTTGAATCTACACTACCTGAGGATGCTTCCAAGTAAATATGACCAATCATGGCTTTGCTGTTCTTGAGAAGAAGATTTTTGAAGATTTTTCCTATATATTCCTATGTTAAACTTTGATCGCCCATTGTGGCCCCACCCGACCCCCAGGGGTCATGATTTGAACAAATTTGAATCTACACTATCTGAGGATGCTACCATATAAATATGACCAATTATGGGTTTGCTGTTCTTGAGAAGAAGATTTTTTAAGATTTTTCCTGTATATTTCCTATGTAAAACTTTGATCGCCATTGCGGCCCCGTCCTACCCCCTGGGGTCATGATTTGAAAAAACTTGAATCTACACTACCTGAGGATGCTTCCACATAAGTTTCATGTTTTCAAGCACAGTGGTTCTTGAGAAGAAGATTTTTTAATGATGCCATTAATTTTTCACGAATTCTTAATTATCTCCCCTTGGAAGAAGGTGTGGCCCTTCATTTGAACAAACTTGAATCCCCTTTACCCAAGGATACTTTGTGGCAAGTTTGGTTGAAATTGGCCCAGTGGTTCTTGAGAAGAAGTCGAAAATGTGAAAAGTTTACAGACGGACAGACGGACAGACAGACAGACAGACGGACGGACGGACAGACGGACTACAGACAAAATGTGATCAGAAAAGCTCACTTGAGCCTTCGGCTCAGGTGAGCTAAAAAGTGTATTGAGGCAGAGGGAGCACACATTGAGAAGCAATGAGGTTGACGAACATCACAAAACTCAACAGCGAAAGTGCCAGTTTATCAAACAACGTCTTTGCATTAATGATAAATTGGCAAATTATCAAAGTTTTCAATTCTTAAACTTCTGTTGTTTTACATTAATCATAGATATTGTAAGCACAGCCTACATAATACCAGTCCATGAAATTTTTGATAATCCCTTATTATAAATAATACAGAATAAACCAGAGGCCCATGGGCTACACTGCTCACCTGAGTCACTATGGCCTGCTTTATTCATCAGCAGATTTTTCCCCCATATATGCCTATGTAAAACTCTGATTACATATTATGGCCCTACCCTTGCCCCAGGGTTATGAAATAAACAAACTTGAATCTACACTACCTGAAGATGCTTCCGTACAAATTTAACTAATTATAGCTTTGCTTACCTTTAGAAGAATATTTTTATTAAGCACTTTTCCTATGTAGTACTATGAAAAACTTTGATGCCCACTGCCCCCCCCCCCCCCCCCCCACGAGGTCATTATTTGACAACTAGAATCTACACTATCTGAGGATGCTTCCATATAAAAATGACTATTAATGGCTTTGCTGCTTTCTTGAGAAGAAGATTTTCAAAGATTCTTCCTGTGTATTCCTTATTTAAAACTATACCAATTGTGCCCCCACTTTATCTCAAGGAGTTAAGATTTGAAGACACTTGAATCTACACTATGTAAAGAAGCTTTCACATAAGTTTCATCATTTCTGGCCCAGTGGTTCTTGAGAAGATTTTAAAGATGCCATTGAATTTCACTAATTCTTAATTAATTCTTAATTATCTCCCCTTGAAAGAGGGATTGGACCTTCATTTGAATGTACTTGAATTCCCTTCACCCAAAAATGCTTTAAGGAAAGGTTGGTTGAAATTGGCCCACTGATTCTTGAGAAAATAATTTAAAAATTTATAATGACGCCTACAACAACAACAAACAATGGACAAATTTTGATCAGAAAATAATCATCACATGTAAATACAGGGAAACAGAGAATTTATGAGGAATTCATGGTTACTTCTCTGAACATTCGATTCATTCTAAATATTTGTACCAAGAAAAAGGTATGATTATTTGAAGTACTTACCCTCATGTCGAGTTTTACAGAACCTACAAAAAAATAATATAAATCATTACTGCTCGTCACATTGTATTACAAATAGAACTCTCCAAAAGAATTAATGTAACAGTTATTTTCAAAATATAATGCATATATTTTATCGATAAATTCACAATTATGGACATCTTGTAAATCATTGTATTATAAACATCAAAAATAAAAACATAAACAAGAGAACAACTATACATTTTATTCTGGTTCCCATGGGGCTAAGTGTAACAGAAATTCTTATACATGTAGTTCAATGGGGCCTAGAGTAACAGATATTACTATAGTTCTATGGGGCTTAGTTTAACAGATATTCTAATAGTTCCACGAAGCCTAGTGTAACAGATATTCTTATAATTCAATGGGGCCTAGTGTAACAGATATTCTTATATTTTCATGGGGCTAAGTGTAACAGATAGTCTTATATTTTCATGGGGCTAAGTGTAACAGATATTCTTATATTTTCACAGGGCCTAGTTTAAGAGACATTCTAATAGTTCCACTGGGCCTAGTGTAACAGATATTTTTATAGTTCCATGGAGCTTAGTGTAACAGTATATATATACTTATCCACTGGCTGTGAGTGGGATAGCTCTTTTATCAAACCCGGGGCAGGAACTATTCCCTGAGGGCTTGCCCGAGGGGAATAGTTCCTGTCAAGGGTTTGATGAAAGAGCTATGGGTGAATTAAAAAAAAATGACCACCGAACTGAATTTTTTGGGCAAAATTCAACTACATATAACATATTTTTCACTTGTATCATCATATTGCACATGCATTCTAGTTTAAAATCCTGAAGTGGCAATAGAAAAGACAATTGGATTAAAAAGTTTCAGAATTTTTATAAGTTAAATTTCTTTTGAAAAAAGAAAATATCATTACACCTTAAAAGACTTTCTAAAATACATGATCACAAGAAATTATAGTTTTTTATCCTTAAAAATGGTAAAAGGGGTGTAAATGATTAAATCTTGACCTTGAATGAGTATCTTCTCTTGTACATGTGACAAAAAATTGGCTTTTTGATTGTTATTTTACATTATTTTTTCAATTATGGTTTGAAAAGTTTTAATATGAAATAAATATGAAGCAATAAAATTCCACAAAATTCACTTTTTTGTCCGTTCAAGTCAATTCTTTAAATCTAAGCCAAAAAAGAATTGTTATAAACGAGTTCTCTTGCAAAAAATACAAGATTTTGAAGTGACCTTATGTTACATTATTGTGTTGCACTCCTGACATCTGATATGTATTTTATTTAACATTGTTTTAAAAATTATAACACACAATAACCCATTCTTACTCTGTAAATCAATTTGTCGTGTTGATTTTTTTCATCGTTTACAGCAGGTTTTTCATATTTTGAAGACCTTAAAACATGATTATTTGCAAAGTGTAATATAAAAAAATTTATTTAAAATACATGTGAAATGATGAAAACTATTCCCTGAATTAACTGTAAAATTTCTGTAATTTGTTGATAGACATAGTGTTTTGAACATCAAATAGTATCAAGCATTTTTTTCAACTTATTTTTTAGTAAAGATAGTTAAAAAGCATTGGTAATTATAAAGCAGTTTTGTTGCACTCCTGACTGCAGAAAAATTGAAAATTAAAACCATAGAACACAAAAATTCATAAAGTGTTGGCAACATCAAGTGATAATGAAATTGTGCAATATTTATAGTCCAATACTTCATAATTAAAACAGATGAAAGTATTTAAAATTCGCATTTTATCTGGAATTATACCCTATTTTATACCAAAAAAACTAGCTTAAATGTATATTTTCCTTTAGAGAACAAACACAGTAACACACCAGAAAAATTCTACTCATCACTTTTTCTTATTTTTATTGTTATTGGATGATTTATAATTCTAACATATTTGTTGCACTACTGACCAAAAGCATTGGGGCCTTTAAAGTAGAATTGTGAAGTGAAAATTACGTAAGAACTTGTTCTGTTGTTTCAGTGAAGTTGAGGAGGAATTACTTGAATTTAATGACAATGTTTTAGTGTGTTTATTTTTAACGTTCATTAAAAAAAATCATAAAAAAGATAAAAACACATCTAAATTGATAAAATTGAAAAAAGGAAGGATTTTTATTAATAAAACTATCAATAATTTAGCATTTAATTATACAAAAAGATCATTATTAATTAATGAATACTTCTAAGCATGAATAGAAGTCTATTCGACACACAACTTGAATCTTTAAAAAAATGTGTTGCTCTCCTGACCATAGAAATATGGATCTGAAGCACAGACAGATCCTGTAATTGATAAATCTATTTGGTAAAAATGTTCTTTGTGTCTTTATTTTCCAAAATAAAAATCAGAAAATCATATAATGATAATAGTTTTTTCATGCTTGGGAGCAAAACATCAAATGTTGCACTCCTGACATTTTTGGGTATGCACATATACTTGACTCTCATTAATGCTGCTTGTGATTTATATAACATGTTTTAAATGTATATCAGTTATTATTTTACACTTCCAAAATTCTATTTTGTCTTAATTTTCTATCAGAATTTTACAATTGATGTTTTATTGGCAACACTACATTTTTTCTGTTGCACTCCTGACATGGTATAACATTTTTTTAAACATCAGCCATGACCACAACTTGATTAAACAAAAGTTATGACAGTCCACATTTAAAGCTCAATACTTTGAATATTATCAGGAAAGTCTTTATTTTTAACATGAAGCATTGTTTTTATTTCACAGATCTCTAAAAAATATTGAAATTTCAAAATGTCACAAAAAGGTGTTGCACTCCTGACAATTTTAGCATCATTTTTGGGCATAACTTTTTTGTTAATCGAGATATCAACGAGATATTTGGCAGGTATTTACACACTATCTAAAGACATATGCTGAGACATAGAAATCTATTTTCATTGCCTGTATTTTTTAGTGTGGGTTGATAAATATGCGTTTGGTCATTTTTCTTTAATTCACCCCTATCCCACTCACAGCCAGTGGATAAGCGTTTTATTATACTGATGTAAATTATAATTTTTGAGGGTTAGAATGTCTGATACTATAGTTTCATAGGCAGAACATGAATAGAATAAATTTAAAAGTCTTGAACAAGTATTTGGCGTAAGCATAGACCTAAAGCAATGTCTATAGTGTAAGATAATCACTGCAAGAATGAGCTGAAATCTCATTCAGCTCATTGATATTGTGTGGTGACGTCACAATGCTACTGAACTATACTGAACTCAGGATGACATCATCAGTCTATAGAATTAGATTGATAGCAGAAATCAAAATTGGCGGCAAAAATTGAATGAAAAATTTCCGAGGAGTGGATAGCACAAACTATACCCTGGGGTATAGCTTCACTAGGCATGAAATTTTCAGACTATAGAAAAATAGTTATTTTACCTTCTTATATTAATATATAGGAAACGTTTTAACAGAAGTATAATAAATATTCTTATATTTCCATATTTCCATAGGGCTTAGTGTAACTATATTTATGGTTCAATGAGCATATTTAGTATAACAAGAAATGTTTGTGAAACACTTATGCCCCCCCCCCCCCCCCAAGTGGCATAACTCTGTCAAAAATTGCTCGATCTTACCCAAAACAGAACTTGTCCTAGATATTCATATTCATATGATAAATCTATTAACCAACTTTCATTTCAGTATGTGGAACCTCTGCGAAGAAAATGAATGGAAACTGCAAATAATTGGTCCAGGAATTTTTTAAAGTCCAAGGGGCATAACTCTGTTAAAAATTGCTCAATTGTACCCAAAACAAAATTTGATCTAGATATTTTTACGATAAATCTGTATACCAAATTTCATTTCAGTATGTGCAACCTCTGCAAAGAAAATAACGCAGTACAGTTAAGGTGCCAAATGGAAATATCGGCGAATTTTTTAGATAGAAAATATATTCTTTATAAGGATGGGCGTTTCTTTTTAGGACTTTACTATTATTGGACAAATGCAATGTGGTTGAAAACTACATGTTGAGGACGAATAGATTTCTTATTTAGACTTGTCACGTGATGGGGCAGTCACGTGATTTTAACAAATATACCTGAAGTATTGAGTTCATCTATAAATTCTAATATTGCAAGGGCATAACCAAGTTAAAAATCTAAGTTTAACATATGATTGTTTTCAACACTCTTTGTAGTTTGTGAAAAGTGCTGCGAACCTATATAGATTCTACTATCTAATTGCTAAAATTACATTTGTTAGACCGTATGTTGAATATTTTGCTGGTCAAGTACATTAAATATAGATATGATTAATTCATTTGCAAGATTTCAATAGGTTCGCACCACTTTTCAAATATTTTTATACTTCTTGAGTTTATGTGTAAAAGCTTGTCATAATTCATTGAGGGTATGCCCTTGCAATATATCGATTTATTACGACCCTTCTTTTTCCCTTCAATGCATCTGCATACAAATATACGACAGTATCGCTTGTCTAAGGAATGTATGGGAAGTATATGAATAAAATCATAAAATAGACATCGCATTCAAGTTAATGGCCTCCTATATATCTACAATTTATATTTTATTTAATTACAAAATACATTTTTCATTGTATAAATATAACTTGATCCGCCTCTCACTGCATACAAACTGCGTCAAATTTTACGATATGACATCACATTGACATGTGCATTGCGATCAGTGAATTGTTTATATATTACTGTGTGGGATTTAGCCAACGACAATAATGCATGAATTAGGCCCTGCCTCCTTACTGCAGCCTTAACTGTGCTGCGAAATGGAAACTGTTGGTGGATCGACAGAAAGACAGACCAACAGACAGATTGACCGACAGACAGACTGACCGACAGCAGCAAAGCAATATGCCCTCCATTCTTCAAAGGGGGGCATAATTACATCATTCTTTTGATCCGTTGGGGCTTATTTTTGACTTTAGTCATTGGACATAGGTACAGTCTACTTTGGATGTATTGAAATTCAAGGAACCAGCACATTGTTAATTCCGCAAAATTATGAACCTGTGGAAAAAAGTATGTTTACAGCAATATTTCAAAATAAGCGATTTCAATTCAGATGGAATAGGCTGCATATGGATTTGTCTCTGATGTCAAAATGATGGTGATTTGTTTATATTAGCTACTCATCAACATCCGCCAGGATTTAATACTAATTGCCATACCTTAATATTTTGTTAAATGACCCTTCATTCTTATTACTTCTAGTTGTCTTTAGGGAATAAATGAACTAATAAATAAAGCCGCTTGATTGGTTGAGATGGTATATTTTGACAAACTGTTATTTCTTTTTAATTTTTACCAGACATTTCCAATAATATTTACATCTGGAGACAGTACTGACTAAGATGTAGTAATAACAAAAATTATTTTCTTCCTTAAAGCCACCGAGTAGATGTGATCGAGGTATGGGGGCATCGTCACTCTGATAATGTCATTTCAATCAGGAAAATGTTCAGCAATAACAGGCCACAAATTGTTTTCTAATATATTTTTTTCAATTTACGTTAATTGTCAAAGTTCCTGCAGCCTTGTAATATATAGATCATAACAGTTTGGTCTTTGATGGTGCACACATAAGATGAGGGTTATTGACTTGATTTGCTTCTCTTAAAATCTACAAAAGGATACTATTTCCAATAACCACCTGGTATTCATCATCCCGTATCAAGTTTTTCCGCTGATGATCTATAGTTCACTTCTCCTTACATCATGTGATGATTGTTTTTGTGGCATCAACAAACAACCATCTTCTTTTTTCTATAACCATCTTTTATATTCCATTTTAAGTGATTTTCTTTTCCCAATTTTAGAACATGAAGTATAATCCTTTCCTTAATTCATTTGTAAATTCATTTAAAGTCCCCCTTCTAAAGCTTTCTTCCAGATCAATGCCTGTTTACTACACTGACCAAATTTTTATTTTTTTTGTTTTTCATAATACTGGATATAATTGTCCTTGAACGAATTCTAGAGACAGACAAAATCTGTACATACTGGTGTCACTAAAAATTTATGACATAATGGCCAAACTTCTGTTCTCTATAAGTAGGGTGATTGAAAATAGTTGTTACAAGTTTCATAGCCATTTGTGTACTTTGACGATGAGTACTTTTGTCCAATGACTGTAGATTATTCATATGGTTCTGTGGGGCTTACTATAACTACATAATCTTAAGCTTCCATGGGGCTTAGATAACTACATGTACTAGATTTTTCTAATAGTTCCTTGGGGCTTAGATGAATATTCTTATAGTTCCATGGGTTTTGTATAACTAGATATTCTAATATTTTTATGGGGCTTATTATAACTAGATATTCTTATAGTTTTATGGGGCTTGGTAAGAGGAAAGGGAAAAAATAAATGAATTAAACAAGTATTTAAAGCCTATGAACATATCATCTTCTGATACAAAATATAGCTGCTGTTTACTTTTTGCTGCTATCGTTCCTGTCTTTGTGGTATATGCTCCTCCTTTTGCTGACATTGTGACCGTAACATCTGCCGACTCATTCAAGTTGTTCACAACAGTGACTGGGTAGTCATCTCCCTTTATAGCACTCTCGGGGGCTATCAGCATGTAGCTCCTTACATTCATAAAAAAACTGAATTATTAAACTTAGTTCAGCAGAACTTAAGACAGCTAATATGTATATGAAGTACAGCCCTTCTTTAGATGGGTTTTTTTTGTTTGGCAATGTTTTAGGTATTTTTAAGGAAAACAAAATTGAGATCCACCCTTGTTACCCATTGATCTACCTTTAATGATCTTTAACCTTGTCTATGGACTTTGATGTCACAGATGTTTTAAGTATTATTAAGAGAACAAGATGTGATTGTGAAACACTGATGCCCCCGTATGGCAACTTATAGCAAAGGTTAAACTTTCTCAAATGCAAATCAAATACGTTGGTACCCAAAGTAAGGTCTTGTCTCGAGGAATATTTCAAAAGTTATGAAATATGAAAGCCCTAGCAGCAACCATTGAATAGATATGAAAAAGGTTAAAGTTTTTCAAAAGTAAGTCAAACATCAAGGTCAAATGGTCAAAATCAACGGTGCCGAAGGAAAGGCCTTCTCACAAGAAATAAACAGGTAAAATATGAAAGCCGAAGACCCAATCGTTCAAAAGTTATGACCAAGGTTAAAGTTTTTCAAAAGTAGGTCAAACTCCAAGGTCAAGGTCAATGGATTACAATTGTTGGTATCCAAAGGAAGGTCTTGTCACAAGGGAAAAAAACATAAAAAAACACATAAATATGAAAGCCCTAGCACCAACTTTTCAAAAGTTGTATCAAAGGTTAAAGTTTTCCAAAAGTAGGTCAAAGTCCAAGGTCAAGGTCAAAAGGTCAAAGTTGTTGGTATCCGAAGAAAGGTCTTGTCACAAGGATTACATATGTGAAGTATGAAAGCCCTAGCACCAACTGTTCAAAAGTTATGGCCAAGGTTTTCCAAAAGTAGGTCAAAATCCAAGGTCAAGGTCAAAGGGTCCAAGTTGTTGGTATCCAAGGGAAGGTCTCATCACAAGGATTACACATGTGAAGTATGAAAGCCCTAGCACCTACTGTTCATAAGTTATGGCCAAGGTTAAAGTTTTTCAAAAGTAGGTCAAACTCCAAGGTCAAAGGGTAAAGTTGTTGGCATCCAAAAAAAGATCTTGTCACAAGGATTACATATGTGAAGTATGAAAGCATTTGCACCTACCGTTCAAAAGTTATGGCCAATGTTAAAGTTTTTTCAAAAGTAGGTCAATCTCCAAGATCAAGGTCAAAGGGTCAAAGTTGTTGGTATCCAAAGGAAGATCTTGTCATAAGGATTACACATGTGAAATATGAAAGGCATAGCTCCAATCAATCAAAAGTCATGGGCAATGTTAAAGTTTTTGCAGACAAGCAGACAGACAGACAGACAGACGGACAGGGAAAAAGCTATATACCCCCGAATCTTCAATACGGGGGCATAATTAGATGGGCTCTCTCTCGTAGATACAAATTTGGAGGTGGATGAGTGCGAAGCACGAGACTCTGCCCAAAATTTGTATTTACGATAGAGAACCTGTCGAGTTCTCTAAATGATTTTTAACATATGCAATCAAAATGAGCACCTTGCTCATCATAATCAATTTTCTGTGCAGCATCCGCTGTTTATTTATTCCCACGGACAATGTAAGATTCAGTCAGATTAGTTTTGACAAAGGGGAAGACGCAGCTGACTTGAACTCTTCTAATTTTTTAACAAATAAAGTGAATGATTTAACCTTCCTGTAGATTTATGACACTATGGAGATTGATCCTGATATATATGACGGGTTTCAAAATCTCAGTTAACCTAGATACAAATACAGGCGATACAGACAGCTCTTCTATGGACTTTGATGTCACAGATTTTTATTTTCTTAATTAAATGCAACATTAAATATGATAAAAGAGATGTGGATTAGTTGTCAGCGATAAGGATTTAAGAAGAGTTTTTAAACATCAAAACACTAAAAAATGGACTTGAATTAGTTTTCACTAGAGGCGTGAAAAGGGGAGGGGTACTGAACTTAATGCTGCAACCATGAACCATTGGCTTTACCATTTTGAAGGGGACACAAAGAAAGCAAACAGTTTTTGAGGAATTTATCCAACAGCATCAGTTTTCCATATCTGTAAATTTTCCTTTTCTTTTGGATCGAAATAACAAATAGATTCTGTGTGGAATAAGTTTATAAAAGCGATTGAGAAAATTTGACCTTTAACATTCACTAGAAAATATTAATACAAAATTCATAATAGGAAAAAATCAGCCTTTACTAATTGTATGTGCTTTTGATATATTGAATCAGATTTATTTTTAGATTGTGCTGTACATATTTTAGATACAGAATAGTTGGCTAATACAACACAGTATATAGGGCTAATACAGAATGGAAAATAGCTCGGCCTACTGTAGTCCCATTCTATATTGCTAATATAGAGCAGGAAATTTCAAAGAAAAACACCGCCATCATGTCACAATTATATGAATGGGTCATTATATACTGTAGATCACAAAATTTTCGAGACCCTTTATTTTAATAAGATAGACATTTACTCCATATTAGCGAGAAAAAAAATTTCACAAATTTTGGTAACTGCTCTATATAATCTTTATGAATACAAATATATACAAGAATGGAATTTTTGCGAGCAAACTGTCTTGGGTAATTAGCGAAAATAAAGTTCTTGTGAATAAAAAGTGATTTACAGTAAATGAGGGCATCTCATATGCATTCAATACCTACATACCCAAATAAGGCTGAAGTGACTCCCCATCAATAAGTTATTTTTATTAGATTAGCCAAAGATATTTGTTTTACTATTTAAAGCATTTTTCTGAAGACCTAGCTTACATTAAAAATCCAAATTATCTGTAATAAATATTCAAATTTCATAAAAAGAAAATGAGCACAAATTTCTAAAGAGAACATGTACTGTACGTGTACATAAATTGGTGTATTCAAAACTTAACGCAATCAAGGGGTATGTAGTTGTTGGCGTAATCATGAATTAGCACTATACATATCCGTGCCGTGTATTGTATTAGTAAATATTTACATTTCCAATGTCTTTGTCTGAGATAAAATTTCAAATAGTAAAAATACTTTATTTCTACATAAATTTACTGGTTCATCGATAGGCATGGTGAAAAAAAAAATCATGTGCAGGGCGGGACAAATAGAGACAGAAGCGGGGCTTGTAGCACGTGAATTTGCAGAATCAAGAGCATGTAAATATAAGGAATAACTGTCAGATTTTTTGGTTTCATGACGATGATCAATCGATTGGCTTGCGTGATAATTTTATGCATAAACGCCTTCAGCGTTTATGCAAATTATCACGCAAACCAATTGATTGATCATCATGAAACCAAAAAATTTGACAGTTATTCCTTAAATGACTTCATAGCGGTATTTATGAATTAGCACGTCTTTGTCCGCACCAAAGCTGCTAAAATATGAAGCCCGCTTTTTTAAGTACACATACAGTATGTCCTAGCTATTTCAATCACAGATCAATTTCAAAATACACATTTCCAGTACATGTTTTTATGAAAATCAGAAGAAAGTCTACCTTGCTGGTGCCAAAGGGTTTTTTTCTCAGAAAGTTTAAATAATTTGAATTGTATCAAACAAAATGAACTCTGGATTATAATGTAGTCAAACGTATTGCTATTACAGGTAATTCATTCCTTGAAACACTCCATTTATAAAAATAAGCAACATATTGCTCAAAGTAGCTATATCTTTATTGAACACCAAAGAAAGATAAATAACAATTGTTTTCCGTAAGAAATACTACTACATTACTTAAATTAAACTGGTAGAGGTTTATTTTTAGTTTAAAAATCTGAAATTTTTTTTTTATTTATTTCACAGGCAGGGGGATTTATTTTTGACTTGTTGTTTAGAAATGACATTATTACACTGACTACATTGTATACTGTATTAAAAGTAAATCCTCTCACCCTTTCTTAGCCCCAACAGGTATTCCCAGCAGAAGCAACACCAAAAACCTGAACATACTTCCTCAGCAAGCACCTGCCTGGTAGACGTAAAAAAAAATTACATAATATATTTATAATTATTATATTGTAGTGATGTAGACAGTATTACAATGTTAAGCAATATTCAACAGTAGCTAGGGTACTATATCCATATAAGTCATATTAAAGCTGTATACAATGTTAAGCAATATTAAACAGCAGGGGATAATGTTCATTACATCATTTTTGTATTCCATAATATTGTAATCCTAGAAATAATGAATTAATTTTTCTTTCTCTGTTGCAAAAGATTTCCATTACCAAATAAAGGATAAAATGTAAAAATGGTTCCACAAATCAGGATTTTACCTTTTTTTGTGTTTAAATCTCTCTCATGCAATGGTATCTGAATGAATACACCTAAAACACAAATATTTCTAATGTCAGTGCTATTCAAAAGAAATAAATATATGCAGATTGAGACCTAGGATCCCTCTTTTCTGTAATTATATAACAAACATCATGATTATCCAAATAGATGCCATCTTGAATATAAACAACACTTAGTGACTCAAGGCACATAAAAAATTCTATTAAAAAAAATCCCTACAGGTACTTCGCAATCTGTCTCAAAAGTGCAGCTTATACCATTAAAATGTCATACCCCAATAACCCCCAACAGTTGTCATTAAAATTCAGGAGAATGTGTAAATTAATGCTAATAATGGTAAACTTATCTCCAGCACTTTTTTAATAACAAGTCATGGATCCCGTTTTCTGGTCTGAACCTCAGAGAAAAATTGTACGTTATCTCAAGTGCATTAGCATAAAAATAGATGCCATGGGCTAATTACTCATGTAAAATGTTTGGCATAAACAATATACCTACCAAAAACCTCTTAAAAAGAAGACCAATGTCCTGTCTGGTCCTAATTCCACCTGAACAATACTGTCTCTATTTCAACATCTATCTACCTGAAACACCGATAAATATCTAGTTATCTCTAATGCCTGCAAAATAACTGAACAAATTTCAAACAATATGTATCGAGGACTATTGGGAATACACAGAAAAGTTGCCCTCATCAGCAAATGAAGAAACAAGAGGCCCTGGGGCCACATCGCTCACCTGAGCACTCTGGCTATGAAAAAGCAGAAATCAGTTCAGTCTTGAAAAGTTTAAATATAAAACTGGTTCGGGAGGGGGGGGGGGGTTATTTAACTAACTTGAATCTAAACTTCATAGGGATGCTTTTGAATTAATATGACAAATAATGGCTTTGCTGTTCTTAAGAAGAAAATTTTGATTGATATATCCTTTATATTCCTTTGTATGATCCCCTGTTATGGCCCCTCTATTCTCCAGGGGATCATGATTTGTACAAATTTGAATATACATTACCTGATGATGCTTCCATTTAAATATGACTAATGGCTTTGCTGTTCTTGAGAAGAAGATTTTTAAAGATGTTTCCTACATATTCCTATGTAAAACTTTGATCGCTCATTGTGGCCCCACCCTTTGTCCGGGGGTCATGATTTGAACAAACTTGAATCTACACTACCTGAGGATGCTTCCATATAAATATGACCAATCATGGGTTTGCTGTTCTTGAGAAGAAGATTTTTAAAGATTTTTCCTATGTTTTCTTATGTAAAACTTTGATCCCCCATTGTGGCCCCACCCTACCCCCAGGGGTCATGACTGGAACAAACCTGAATCTACACTACCTGAGGATGCTTCCATATAAGTTTCATATTTTCAAGCACAGTGGTTTTTGAGAAGAAGATTTTTAAATGATGCCATTAATTTTTCATGAATTCATAATTATCTCCCCTTGGAAGAAGGCATGGCCCTTCATTTGAACAAACTTGATTCCCCTTTACCAAAGGATACTTTGTGGCAAGTTTGGTTGAAATTGGCCAAGTGGTTCTTGAGAAGAGGATGAAAATGTGAAAAGTTTATGACAACGACGACGACAACAGACAACGGACAAATTTCAATCAGAAAAGCTCACTTGAGCCTTTGGCTCAGGTGAGCTAAAAATTAGAATTAAGAGAAAGGAGGATGGTTTACATGAAAGAAAAACTATTGATGATATTAGATTACACAAAGTCAACATGCACAGATCTAGAGAAGGGATTGGGGTTGGGGGTTGGTCCGGACCTCCCCTGGAATTTGCAGTTATCAAAAGTATATACTGAAGGAAAGAAAAAATGACTTTGGAACACCCCCCCCCCCCCAAAGAAAACATGTACCCCACTATCACCACCATGAAATAGGTGTTTTCATGTTTGGGAAATGAAGTTTAGGGTTTTTTTTGTTGTTATTCTTGGTTGACATGCGACGGCTCACTGTTCAAGCAAATCAAAAAGTCAACTGACCACCACAAATTGCTAATATGACAATAGAATCATACTTGTTAACCTGCTGCAATTAAATAGGAGATTTAGACCTCAACAGTAGAAACAGTCCATGTGGTCCTCTAATGACCACTGCTGAATAATAATTAATATTAAGAAGAAGACAAAACACTATCTAAATATGTGAAGAAATGTTTTCCATGCTCATCATAATAGCTTTTAGTAGCTAATTTAGCCCTTTTGAAGAGTGATCTTTGTTCCTCATAATAGCCTGGAAACCATTATAAACTAGTTATAATTGTAACGGGCACCGTTACAGATGTTCCCCAAACGCTCCCCAACTCCCTTTTGGTGTCTTATTTCCTGTAAGCTTCATTAAATAAGGCAATGAAGTATATTGGTCGTTTTTTCCATTTCACGCGCGCGCACGTGTATGCATGTGCAGTATGACCATGTCATCCCATCTATACTATTAATGTATCTTTATATTCTCAGTATCAAAACATTTCATCAAAAATATGTAAGTTCCGGCTATATCAAGTATACTGGTCATCTTAGCATTGCGCGCACGCGCACCTGCATGCATGTTCATAATGACCATGCCATCTTGTCTACACTTATAATATGTCTGTTTATTCTTAGTATCAAAGCTTTTCATCAAAAAATATAAAAGTTACGGCTATATTAACTATATTAATCATTTAACACATTGCACATGCGCGCATGTGCATGCATGTGCATGATGTCCACATCATCTTGTCTACACTTGTAATATATCTGTATATTCTTAATATCAAAGCTTTTCATCAAAAAATATAAAAATTACGACTATATTAAATATATTGGTCATTTAACACATTGCATGCGAGCGCACGTGCATGCACATGCATGCATGTGCATGATGACCATGTCATCCTGTCTACACTTTTAATATATATATAAATATTTTGAGAATCAAATCATTTCATCAAAAAATATAAAAGTTACGTCTATATCAAGTAAATTGGTCATTTTACAATTTGCGCGTGCGCGCACGTGCATGCATGTGCATGTTGACCATGTCATCTTGTCTACACTTTTAATATATCCTTGTATTCTGAGTATCAAAGCATTTCATCAAAAAATATAAAAGTTACAGCTATATCATGTATATTGGTCATTTTACGCATTGCACGCGCACGCACGTGCGTGCATGTGCGCGCAAAATGACCTTCGTTCCGCAAATCTACATAACATACCTAGTAACCCTAAAAAGGTTTTAACTCAATTGGATGTGCAGTTTCCGAGAACACTCGCGGACAAAAAAGTACCGGAGAAGAAATAAGAATAAAAAAGAATAATAATAATAACTAGACTCTTGTTGCCATGGCAACAAAAAAGTCTTCCGTTCTTCTAAATCTGTAAGAATTTGCTTTTTTCTGTGTAAAAAAACATACATATCATATTTACTGTGAAAGAAAAAAATAACTGGAAAAAAGTCCTTTCAGTACTTAAGGTACTTTGATTTTCATGATCAATCTTGTATACTGCGTTTGGCACCTATAAGAGATATACGAATATCATAGAGCAAGGATAATTAGCAATTAAAAAAAAATGTTTGCAATCATTTCTAAGACAAACAAACAGACGAACAAACAAACTACTATCATAAACTTCACTGTGTATACGTTCTGGCATAATTGTGATGGTGTTATAAAAAAAAATATAATGAATTAAGTTTGTATCACATTAAACGTTAAGTCACTGAGTTTTGTAAAGTTATAATATCAAGATTTGAAAGCATACCTATAAGAAAGATTATTCAGTTACAGTAATTATTCAGCAATCGATCGATTGATTGATCATATGTTGTTTAACGTTCCTCGAGAGAATTTTTCACACACATGGAGACGCCACTACTCGCCGGTGGAGATTTAAAAATTTTGTCCTATACTTTGGCACTTTTCGCCATTGAGCAGTGAGGAATCTTTTTTGTGCCAGCACCTTCTGCGACACGGGACCTCGCTTTATTCGATCTCAAAGGACCGGTCTCCACGTCCCACAATCGAAGTTCATAATACCGAGATGTTTTATTTTTTATTTTATTTTATATTTTCACAAGTTTGTTGCATCAGATTTACTTAAAGATCATACTTCAAGATCATTTCGAACTCAGGCTACTTAATTGCAGTGAATACAGCGTCAAGTGATTTTGATTGACAGGTCAACACACGTGCACTTCGTGTGATACTTTTTAAGCTGAAAAATATACAGGATGTGACCATGCCTGACTATGAAATCAGAAAACATTTAATAAAGAATGGGTGTGACCGATATAGAACTAATTTTTGGTCTATGTAAATGGATAGGAGGATCGGGATTAAGAGGGAATCTCTCTCTCTTTTTTTTCTCTCTCTCTCTCTGACGTAAATTGAACATTTCATAATGACAAAGCTACCATTATAGAATATGAAATTCTGTATACATGTAAATGGTAATTATATTCACATGTTCCAGATTTAAATCTAAAACGAATATATAATTCAAATGCCTAGCTGCACGAATGTCTCCAAATATTAATCAAGACGGGGGGGTGGGGGGGGGGGGGGGGTGGGGGGCTTCAAAAGAATTAGATAGTTTTATGAATTATAAGGAAAAGTACGGACGTCAGTTGCATGTACATAATTATATATCATTGCATAAAATTGTGTTCATTCAGGTATACTTATCCCACATATCAACAGACCTGTACAATTTTTTTTCGTGTTTTTTTTTTTCAAAAGAAACATATAGCGTACCATTAATTCACACAGAATCGCGTTTTCACAATTTTTTTTTTTTTTTACTCTTTGAGTATTTCACAAGAATCCAGGAATCGTCTTTTCACATCTTTTATAATTCCTTGGGTATATAGAGTATAGATCATGTGTCATAAATAATTTAACTTTTTTATCAAATATACATGTAATAACCAAATCTAATCTATAGATTGATTTTTCTTTCTTTTAAGTGGCAGATATCAATTTATTTATAAAGGCTTTAAAACAGTACTGTATTACAATTTTCTATCGCTCAATTCCTTTTTGAGTGTATGTAATATTTTTTAATATCGAAAATAAAACTCGGAAATCGGGATAATTTCGCATTCAAATCATAGAGAATAATAAATCGTCTGCATTATAGAAGGCTTATAACTATCGTATTCTGAACAACTTACTATACGAGATAGATAAAATTGCATGCCTGTCCATCACTATAAACGTATATTCAGTGCTTATAATATATTTACTTGAATTAGGTACCTAACATATATATTAATTTTTTTTTTAGATATATTCATGTGTAAATAAATTAACTGTCAATACAGACTTACACTACACTGGCAACTTTAAACTATACATGCACTGGAAACGGTAACCAACGTACTCTTACATTTAGAAGAGTGAATATGGAACGTCTAAATATTTTGATATGGAGAGTGTATATGTCTGACGTCATCGCTACTATTTCCGCCTTTATCTCAAAAGTTCTATTCTCACTTACAAGTCAGAGTTATCTTTCTTTGCCCATTGTTTACACACTAGGTAAATAGGGAAAATGACGATACCGAAAATCTGCAAAATGTGGAATCT